TTTTTTTTTTTTTTTTTTTTTTTTTACTTATCCACGGATATTCTCTCACTAAGCTATACGAAAATATGAGGCGACAAAGGTTCTTTAGGATTCCTCACGCATTTCTCCGGTGCAGCGTTACTTTATTCCGTGAATTCTCAAGGGTTCTCCATTTACTTGCAACCACCGGCTTCTTGACCCCGCGAATACCGGGCGGCCGGTCTCGCGGAGCTCAGTTTACGAATCAGTGCGAGAAGCTGGGAGAATGGCTCTCCGAACCTGAATTTATATCGTGTGTTTAGGTGGGAATTGGTTCTTTATGAGAGGCACGTGAGGATACTGAAGGATACAGCCATCGAAACACATGCTCAGCCACTCATACGTAATACATATGTGCTCGGTTTAAGGCTCGGGTCAACCTTACGGTCTCATAAAGCCCCTGTGCAGCAGGATGCTGCATTATCATGAAATTCATGGACCCAACGTATCTCCATTGCCGGGTGGAATCGCTGGGAATCGTTTTGCGCCACATGGAAATTTTATTTGCCTTAACGATCTGACTGGCGGATCTGCTGCTATGTGTTGCCGAATAACGGATGGTGTTTATGTGAGACGTTGTTTAACGGCTATTTCTTCATTTTACAGAACGACGACTTGGTGTTCGATCAGGATGGCAGGTCGTCCGTCGTTGAGATTCCGCTGTTTGAGAAGCAATCGCATCCGACGGTATTCCAAAGAATCAAGCGAGGCCTTTTTGATTGGTTCATTTCAGGAGTGACGACAACCACCACCCAAGCGACGACGGGTATAAATTCAAAAAAAAAATTCTTAAATTTTAGTTCAAATTCGTATTTTCATACGTATACGTATTTAAATATTTATATCTTACAGATGCCGATTCACCTCCGGATGATCCGAGTGGTGGAACGGATACTGACGATCAGGAGAAGTTAACGGACCAGAACGTTGACGACACTCAGCCTCGGCAGGACACTAACTTGGAAAGGTTACCACGCGAGAGCGGCGAGGAGGTCAATGAAATTGCTCCCGAAAGCTCCCGGAACGGCGTGGAGGCCTTGAAGGAGCAGGTAAGCTTTAATTTTTGAAAAACTAGTTTTTCTTACGTACATTCGTATATCTTATTTTGCTTCTGATGCAGGACCATAAGGGCGTTGGTGAGGCTGCTGAAGGAAGGAGACCTCAATCGAGGTACGAGACTACCGACGACGAAGATCTTGCTGGTTCGGATGATGCCGAAGGTAGCTCCTATGGTGAAAGAATTGACCAGGATGAATCGTTGTCTCCCGTTACGGAAATGCCACAGCACACTGGAAACGAACGTAAGTCAAGTGAGACAGCTGACGAAGGAAGTTATGCTTATGGAGGGTCGATTTAATGGGTGCCATTTCAATTTTAGGATTCTATCGTATAACGTTCACGGTCGCCGAACCGTTCAGGAAAGGATACGAAGACAGAAACAGCAAAGAGTACAAAGAGTTGGCTGGTGAATTGACACGAGCTATCGATGAGCTTTACAACAAACGTATTCCTGGTTACAATCATTTTTCCAACGTCGTTATGATTCTGTATGTGTTGATATTTATTTATTTTGAAATACTTTTTTTTCTCTGTATATTAATTTTATCAAATACTATAACGATCCGTCGTCTTACTATTTTAGGCCCACCTCGGATTCATTCGAATCGCAGGTCAAAGTTGATGTCGGATCGACCTTTACGGATGCCAAGGAACTGCAGGATATTATTGAGAAGCAGCTGGACCTGCACACCTTGGGATCCATTCAAGTACGACCTAGTGGATTTAGTTTCCGTCATTTTGAAGGTAAAAAATCGTTATTAATTATCGTATTGGTCATTCGATTATGCAGAATTAGATTTGTCTGTGTATGAAGGATTACACGAGATGATCATTTGGTTTTATTTCAATTACTTGCAATTATAAGTTATTATCTTGAAATTGCTATTGATTGTTGGATCAATGTAGAATTGCACGATGAACGTTAGGGTAGCTGTTAGATGTATATATTTTTGTATATATTTGCATAGTTTATAGGAAATTTTGTTGTTTCTTTTTTTTTTCATGCTATTTTATTTTGTCCGGTGCCTGCGTACGAAATCGGTACCGATTCTACTTTTACGTTTGGTTACACGTAAAAAATTACTTGCGATCTTGATAACACGCCATCAGCCAATGGTCCGACGGATTTGAAATGTGACGAAACGCATGAGCTCAGATGTCGAGACGGTGCCTGCGTTCCGTTAGATTCACGTTGCGACGGTGTTCCGCAATGTAGTGACGGATCTGACGAATTGGATTGTCGTATAGTACATCCGGTCACGTCGTCTATTTACCGTAAGTGCACAAGTTTCCAAGTATCTAATCGATCATTAAATTGGGATGAAAAATTCTCAATCTTCGTCATTAAAAAAAATACTCATTTCAACTTTCCGTTATGGAGTCTCGTTTGAGAATAATTCTCAATTCTCGGAGTACAATAATTGTACTGGAAATGGAAAGCATGGAAAGCTTACTGGTACTGGAAAGCATGGAAAATTTTATTAAATGGATTGTATAATTCATTTTTTTGGGGAATTTTAACATTTTTGGATTCGGGATTAGATTTTATATGTGACGCGTGTCATGCATGCCGCAGTAAATGTTATTCAGTCTCATACGTCCTTTCCGTGTATCGTGATAAATCAGCATTGGCATTTTGTCGTATCAGGGGTATCCATGTGTAATGCCGTTTTTCAAATTATTGAACAATTTAAAAAGTGACATTACTCATGGGTATCCCTAATATTATCGCGAACACAAAATAATCTTTTGGGATTGCTTCGATATCTAACGAAAGTTCCTTTTTTCTCACTTTTTTTTCTTCCTCCTAAACTAATCACTATCCACGCTAAAACTTTATCGTCGAAATCTATTGATCTTATGTTCCTATCCTTCCGTGATTTTCGCATCCGATATAAATACAGCTACAGAACATAACAAGGTCAAGAATTCACACACGCCGATGGTACCAGTTGAATCTGAAGATGATGACGATCGCAAAAATGGCGTTTACGATGAAGAAGACAGTGAGCGTCCCGAAACCGTAAGACCACTGTCATCCAAGTGTCGTGCCGATGACAGTGTTCGTTGTAGCGACGGAAGTCGTTACATTTGTTCCATTCAGCAGTGTGACGGTACGCCGGATTGCGATGACGGAGGCGACGAAGTCGGTTGTCCTTATCCAGGTACGGCCTGTCCAACACACAGGTGTTCTACAGTTTTATAAAAACTCATCTTTGTCGTGTGAAGCAATTTTAAGAGAAAAATTTCTTTAACCCAAAAAAAAAAGTTTCCTGATTAGCTATTCTTCGGAGCTTTGCCTTTTTACATTTATCTGTTGATAATTTCTGCTTTTTCTTCATCGTTCTTGTGCCGTGATCTTTTGCGTGATTAAAAGTAATTGTGCTCTTTAGTGGTATGTCTATTGAACGTGTCGATGTTTGTAGATATTGGTCTTTAAATACTGTCTGTACATATTACAAACGTGTAATAGCTTGTGATGATTCTTCATGGCACATAATTTACATTATATCATTGGATAAACTGCCTTGTAATTTCAGGCTGTAATGTATTTGTGGATATTGTCGAATTTGGAAACTGAATTTTTAATCTAGATTGCAATTTGGATGAATTTTTTTTAATTTTTAACTGTGTACATTTGATTACATATTTAAAGTCACGAAGTTTTTAGAAACAAGTGTTGATTAGATATTTTCGTAATATTTTATCCACGCAAGAATTTCGAGTCACGTCCTTTTATTGTATGTGAATTTAAGACTTTATCGTAATTTATTAGGCTGCAGTTCCGGAGAATTCGCCTGTGACGTATCACGTTGCATCTTGGACTCTCAACGCTGTGACTTTACCGAGGATTGTCAGGACGGTAGCGATGAACGAGACTGCAATTATCCTCGTAAGTTTTTCTTTATCAATTAATTTTAAACAAAACGACATTTATATTACGCTTAGACATTATTTCTTCTTCTTCGTCATTTCACTGTCGATACCGGAGAAATCTTGAAGAATATTTATATCATCCGTATAACGTCAGCTTGTTCTACAAAGTCATAGAATACTCAATAAGTTTTCGATAGATCCAAAAAGATCACTGGGCAACGTACTTAACGCGTTGACTAAGGTGCGAGTCTGACGTGTTTCCGTGATCGAGCGTGATTCCATCTGTGAGTCAAAGCAGCTATTTTCTCCTTAGCTCGGAAGGGATACGTTCAACCAGAGGTTAGGCATCAACTGCAATAAACTTAAGATGACTCGTAACCATTCTCGGCCTCAAAATGTACCTGCGGCGCTTATGTTTTTACCTTTAGCGTCTTTTACCATCGTCTTCTAGTTGAGAAACTGTAATAGCCAGAGTTACCGACAACGGGTAACTTTTCCTATAAGAATTTCCTACCTTACCGACACGACAAATCAATAAAGTCCCAGGGCGCCACAATCGCAACGTTTACCCACGCGGTTAACGTATCGCACTGTCACAACGCCGGTACACCTGCGGTCTACGGTTTCCCGTGAGGATTTCACGAAGGAACTTGGAAAATTCTATCTGACACGTTGAAAATCCTCTTATCGTCGATCCTCGCTTCGAATCCTGAGAGACGAAGACAAGTCCGCGGGTTTTTCGCGGAAGAATAAGGTCATGTAAAACTTATGGAACGAGGACGCTAATGAATATTCAAAACTCGAGGGCCTTTTCTTTTTTACCCCTTTTTTTCGCGCAGCCCTCGAGGATCATCGTAGTCAACAACGTGGAAGCGACCCGGAAGTCGGCCAATGTGACGCGGTGCTCAATTGCGCTCACACGTACCTTCTTGATGAGATCTTCGATCGTCATGGTCGGCTTCGTCGGAGAGCATAAATAAATCTAACATTCACATGGACCATAAGGTAGCAGAATACCAATTACCCACTCTTCTATGAAAACCTCGGAACGTCCATAGACAAAACATCAGCCCTTCTACGCACTGGTGTCTCCGACCTTTTCGAACGTATAACACAAGTGATCTCCCTACTAAGTAGCACGACGTAATTTATTACTTGCGGAATGCCGATATCTCGTCGACGAGAGATAGAACGTGGATAAGAAAGGATAAGCTCCAAAGTCAAAATAAAGGTAAACATGTTTGACCATATAAATCAAATTACGTTGCCGCTCCGCTCATTTACCTGTCTCGTAGCAAGAATTCTTGTCTCTCGTTTCGTTCCCTCGGACGTTTATAAATATCCAAAGACACGCACCGTGCATGCTAGGCCTAGTTCTCGTAATGTGCATGCTTAATCAATATTCAAGTATTTGCTGGTTGGGCGCAGTTGAAAGGACCGAGTAGTGAAATGGCACTAGGTAGCAGGCAATGGTGCTGTGTGGGAAGGGGGGTAGGGCGGAAGAGGGTAGAGGGGGGAAGATAGCTCATGAGCTTGCGACCCGAAAACGAACGTAACCTGATCCCCGTAATACCTCGGATGAGGACAATTATGAGTGGCGGTGGAGGCTATAGAGTCTCTGGATTCCTGCAAGGAAAGGAAGTAGAATAGCGTAAGAGGAACCAAGAAGGATGCTAAGGGTAGGCAGGTGGGCAGGTAGACAAGCAGGCAGGCACGCTAGGCACTGCCACGACAAACGTCAAGCACGCTGGTTTCAAACATTATTCAGACATAAACGGTATCTGCGCCCATATAGCTGGGATTATATATATATATATATTAAAACGTAAATAGTATAGAATCGTGCAGATAACGCGGTTAACCAATTTCGGCGATGCTCTTAAGGTGCAAGTGCTAAATTCTGCAAACACAAGGACATATATTTATTACACGATAATTATTATACCGCCAAGAAGTTCCAATCGAAATTCCACCGTGGCACCGTATACGTTCTGGGGTCTGGCAATTTAATTTAATCTTTCAGGATTATTCAATTCTTCGCTGTGCGCACGTATATGGCAACGAGAGCCCGACTCTACGTACGGATAGGTTCTTTTTTTTCATACTACTCGACAATACACCGAACCATCTTCTATACTAATGATCGCGTACTGACGCTCTTGCGTTATCATCGTACATACACGTCGCGTGGCTCGTAACAAGCCGCGGTTCAATGCCGGACGAGTACTGCGAAATTATCTGGAACTCCGGGAACCTCATGCTACACGTTGTTACGCAGTAGCTACCTCGCCATATCCTAACCTACAAATTACTATTGTTAACTCGAGCGGTGCGAAACGCAAGGGAGTTGGACATTCGGTGACACGGCTGTGCCGAAGACTGTACGGTAATTGAGTAGTCCGAAGTAATCGTGGCCAGACACGACGTGGACTGGTCAACGGACAACGGAGGGCGCATAGAAGAATTCAGACCTGAAGCAGACTTTAGTGAAAATTATATACACACGTCTCTGGCACGTGTACTTTTTGCTGTATCATAAGACTGCATTTCACTTGTGTACAGCTTAACGAGTCACGTGTCCAAGTTTACATGTTTCATTGATCAATCAAGAATCCTAATCGCCTGGGACGGACGCGTCTCGCTCTGTGAAGGGTCGAGGGCCGTTGCGGCTGGGTTACAATAACAAAGAGCTACTTGCGGGTTGGCGTGTCGCAGAACGATGCGACCAGTCGTCTCGATCGTATCGGATATCGATGTTCCTCCAGCTGTTCGTGTTCTTCGTTACTGGAACGGACACGCCATTGCCGTGAAATCGTACGATCGCAACTTTAGGAGACACATTATTGCCGACCGACGGCAGCAGTCGGCGTCCCTTTGGGCTCGTTTGCATTAGCGTCAGCGCGAGTTCAACTCGACGGATGTCTATGGTGGGGATTGTTTTTGGCTGGTTTTCTTTTTTAATAAAAAAAATTATATTATGTATATATATATATATATATGTAAAAATGTAAGTGACTCTTCAGGGGAACAGGCTACTGGCGTTTTAGTGTTAGAAAAATACACGTATCGGGCATTGAACGTTTGACGTTCTTTTTTTTTTCTTTTTCTTCCATGCGCTTCCTACGGGCTCAATTCAGTTACCCGTGGCCTCTGGTCGTTAGAAGATTTTCGCCTCGCGCAAACGAGCCGTTGAAAGCTCTTGGAAGAATTCGTAATTTTACTATCAACCCTCTGAGGGATTGTTGCGAGTTAAGGAAATATCCTTGTAAATGGTGCACGGTGCTCGACTGTAGTCGGATCTATTATCGTTGAGATTACATTTGCCGGTGCTACAAATTCCGTAGGTATAACAGAGAGAGAGAGAGGGAGAGAGAGAGAGAGAGAGAGAGAGAGAGAGAGAGAGAGAGAGTCTTTGGAGTAGTTCAAGGTATAAGTGTACAACGTGAAAGCAGCGTGGTCGCATGCGGACGCGTTTATGATCGACCGTTAAAAGGAAGTCCGACCGAAGAAGGAATGGCTGCGTTTAACGCACGCATGTCGAATTAAACACAATTCGCCACGCACAAATATAAACGAGTCTTCAGTTGGTGCTTTTCATTTTTCCTTTCTCCCTTAGACGCGATACGTAATTTATACCTATTGCGGACAACAATACAACCTATTGTATCGGTTATCGGCTACTTCCTTTTCTTATCTTTTTTTTCTTTCAACGCAGCTTATAATTTTACGAATACACAGTCGCACAGAGTGCACTACGTATCAAGAAGTTGTACGTCGACCTCGATGATCTTCGTAATATATTTATCCCGTGATACACGTAAAATTCATTATTAAAAAGTGCTAACCACTCGTGCAATCAGCCGTTGCACCCCGTTTCTCTCTCTCTCCCTCTCTCTCCCTCTCTCTCTCTCTCTCTCTCTCTCTCTCTCTCTCTCTTCAATCGGGCGTCGAACATTTTCGCAAATCGGATTACGCGCCCCGACGCCACGTCGCGACCTTTACCCCCCCGATGATTTCGTTAAGGATAAACGCGGCGGGCTTTTTAGAATTCATTTTCGGTGTTCAGGCGTTAAGCTTGTTCCGTGCGGAATTAAACCAGCTATGTGTCCCCACCTCCCTGACCTCAAAGCGACCTCATAAGCAGCAGGGGGCAAAGGGAACCAGATTGGTAGGCGTTACCGGGGCACCACGTATTCCTGGTCCAGTAGTGAAGCTGGTACTGGGTACTGGTGGTAGCTTTGGTATTCTCATCCTTGTTGCCTTTCATTCTCTCTGTCTCTCTTTCTCTCTCCTCTCCTTTGTAGTAGTACAATTCTCATACCCTTTGACCCTAGCATTTCTACCCTCGCGACCTCTCGTCCTTCTTCGTACCTACCTAGCAGCCTATAGCTAGTCTGCTAGTCTCTCTCTCTCTCTCTCTCTCTCCTTTCCTCCCTAATACTTTCCCTCTTCCTTCCTCATACATATCTTTCTACCTACGTTCACCTTCGCGCCTGTATACCGATATTACCGGAGCAATCCTGTTTTTTGTAATTTACGAGACTCACCATTGCGAGTTACGATCCTGCCGTCTCTCGCTGGCCGCCTACGTGTTGGTATTTTGAAGTAGAGAGTGTGTACCGGCGCTTTCCTCGCTATCGCCAACGGGTTCAAGGGGGGGGGG